ACCCCACAATATTCCCTTTAGTTCAGATCCAAACCTGCCATAAAATTATGAAAACTGAATGCAGGGGGCAATTATGCAATATGGCGGGGTGCTTTAAGTTGCATACATGTATGTGTTCTTAACTATGTGATTTGGTTTATTTTTACTGATCATGATGAGGTGAGTTGTGCTTTTTTTAAAACTCTGTAGCCACGTACGCGTACCCTAAATGGTTAGACCTCCTTAAATGTGGCTGTATGAGCCTTGGTCAACAACACACAGTTCAGACCCCCTGCAGAGAATTACCCAGCGGACAGATGGCCGTGTGTTTTGGCTCCGGTGGCTCCCTGTCAGAGCTTCAGGGGCCGTTCATTGAGCCCCCGTGCTCCCGTGCAGTTAATTACCACAACATGCACAATTTGATCAAGCTAACACATGCATATGGCACACACACTTGATGCTTTCTCACTTCACCAGGCGGATTCACATCCATTGGTTGCGTGTTGCCATTCTGTTCTCTCACCCTCAGGATTATTTTTAAGTTGCTAAGCAACATCTTCACACCAGCAACCAGCATGTAGAATGTCAACAGTCAAAAGCACCCACAAGGATGTGAAGAACTTGTAATGTGGGCCTTGATTTCGAATTTGTGTTTAACGTCTCAGAAATGGGCCACATTAACAGGCTAGTCTTTAACCTCACAGGCGAGAGGTCCGGCTTGAGCCCTCTGTATGGAATTTCCATGTTCTTCGCATGCACATTAAGAAAACAGGCATGTCAGGTGAAGATTCTAAATTGTCAATAGGTGTGAATATGAGTGTAGGTGGTGGTTGTAAATGGTTTATATATGTGCCCTGTGTACCTCTCCTCTTACCCAAAGTCAGCTTGGATAGGTTTTTATCTCACTCACATTAATGAAGGCAAGTGGGTGGATAATAAAAACTCTTAACTTGATGGATCTTTGCCTTTGTTTTGTATCACCATCCTGCCTAAGTCACTGGTCTGGAGAGTTTTTGGGCAAACCTACAATTTTCCCACTCAGCCCCGACAGTCCTCGACCCCGTTTACCCCACCCATTCGTGATGTTGTGCAGCAAGCACCGTGTGAAGTTGCAGGAGCTGCGTGCTGCTATTTGTGCCAGACTGCAACCCACCACCAAGCAGCAGCAGCAGCAGCAGCAGCAGCTTATCGGATCAAACCATTCCAGCTCTCTAGGTTCGAGCAGCTGCCACCCCGGCCGTTTGCATCGCACAAAAAGGCTCCGGTTGTAAGATAGGCGCGCTCACTTTGCTCTACCGCCGAAAGATTTGGGACGCTGCCGCCGAGAGGCTCCGGCGAGATGCGCGCCCAAGCTGCGCCGGTACCCCCGTCGTGAAAGCGGCAGCATCAGCCGCCGCCTGCAATGGCGCTGTAGCCGCTCCAGTCAGTGTGCATCCTCGCACACGGCTCCGCGGTGGCCATTCCGTCCGGGACTCTTCCAACAAGCGTATGGATCGAAAATGCGCCTTTCGAAAGCTTTCTGCAGCGAGAGCGTCAGTGTTTTGCTTTAGCTTCCACTGAGCGTGGGTTTCACTTCTTGTGCATCAAAACGGAACCGAAGCCACGAATGTAAGTGGGACTCTTGTTTTTCTGACTCCGAGGCGTCGTGTTTACGCGTTCAACTTATTTTGACGGTCTTCGGTGTTGTGGCTCTTTGGCTCCGCTAGAACAGACACATTAAGGTAACCCGAGCTATCTTATTGTGGCGATGCGGCGTGTGCATCGCGTCGCCGATTCCTCATCTAAAACGATCATCCGATGGAGCGACTTGACTTTCAACCCCGCAATGCCCCATAGCTGCGCAAACCGGGAGTGTTATTTGCATTTAAACAAGATCCACTTTTTGCACTTAACATTGCACGCGGCGAAATCCAGCGTGGTAAACAATGAATATTATATCAGATCAGCACATTTCGATTTCAGACCACGCTGCTGCACGCCTTTATCCCTGGGTGGGTATGCATTGTAGGCTATGTATGCCCCCCGTCTCTCGGAATGCAATGATAGCAGGATTAAACATTAATGGGTGGTGGTATGGAATATTTAACTACAGTTGACTTCCATTCCTCCTGTAGAAAAAAAGATATGGTGGCATTTCGTGTGTGTCTGTGTGGGGAAATGTTCAATATTGTGATGTTATAATCAACAATGGTGTAAATAGACAATAATAGCAAAATACTGTGTTTTAGGTTTCAATGAGTCGTCAATCTGTTTTTAGGACTGCATAGTAGACTTGATCAACGGTCCAGTAATGCCCCGTGCACCCTATTCCCTAGCACCGGTTAACAGAAGCAAAACAGTCACTGATTGAGCGTCACCTCCCGGCGGTGCCACGTCATTGTTTGTTGTATGCAGTTTGCCATGAAGATATGGCTGGAATGTCTTCCATAAATGATGATGATGTAGCCTGATGGAATTTCTCTGTCTCTGCAGGTGTGAGCAGGCCCGAAAGGATTCTAAAACTGTATCGATTGGAGAGGATTTGGCAGCCCCGCAATAGGTCAAACCGAATGCTCAGTCCTGAGTTCTAATGAGGCCACGGCGATGCTGACACCCCCGCTCAATCCGAAGACGACATAATGCTGAAGACGGAGGCCACGGGGGAGAGGACCAGCCTCCGGAGTGCCTCCCCGCACCGCAATGCCTACCGGGCTGAGTTTCAGGCCCTCAAGAAGGCCTTTGACCAGCCTCAAATAGATGGAAACTCCAAACCCAAGGACCTTGAACGGGGGAAACAACCAAGGGGTCGCCAATATGGCACACATGTCAGCCGCATTAAAGACATGTTCATGCAGATGGGCTCAGAAAGTGCAACTGTTAAGTCAAGGGGTCAAGATGATACCTCGCCCCAAAAGCTGGTCAAGCCAACCAATTTCATTAACAAGGCTGATGGACTGGTGATAAAACTCCAGCATTCCTCATCGGCCGAAAGGGTAGGCGGCGCGGGAGCAAAATTCTCGGAAACCAGGAAGTTGTTTGAACAGCATTCACGTGACCAGTCCCAATCACCCGTCTACCCCTACGGACGCGATAAAAGGGGTTCCCACGAGCACCTGGATGACTGGCGGGGCGCCAGGTCCAACAGAGGCAGTACCGACTCGCTGGACTCGCTGTGCTCCAGAACGGAGGCGTCGTCGCCAACCGTTAGCCAACTGAGTGCCGTTTTTGAAAACGCCGACCAACACAACCAGGGTACGCCCTTCAGGGGAGTCAGCAGACGGGCCTTGTACTCACCGGATGGATTCCACCGCGATGTTAGTGAGGACGATGCGCGACAATCTCCAGTGCGTGGAACTTACCGCAGCAGGATAGGCGGGAAGTTCCCCTCGTCTTTGTCCGCCGATGACCTTCTGAGTCCGAGTCACGGCGGGGCCGAGGCTGCGGAGCGCAAGCTAATCCTACGAGACAAGGAAGCCCAAGATAAAGCCGATAAGAGGCAACTATCCAATGCCACTACAAATGGAAGTCAGGTCAATGGTTCCTGTGATGAGGACGAGAACCACCCAGCGACGAGACAATATATCGAGAATAATGATGGGTCAACAACGACAAATGATGCCATTACCCAAAAAACTTTTGAGGATGCGACTCCCGAGCCACCGACCGCACAAACTGCCCCGACTGGAGAAAGCCGAGAAGATCCGACCAGAGAAGACACGTCTCCAGACTCTCCCAAAGACCGGGCGGACGAACCTGAAGAGGAATACACGGGGAATGAGCGGGTGATTTTTAACGCCGATGGGGATGCGTGTTACCAAGGTTGGGGGGAAAGTTGCACTGACCCCGAGGATGAGCTGTATGGAGACGACGAAGATATCGTCTACGACCCCGGCTCCGATATGACTGAGATTCCTGGTCTGCCGGAGGAGAACAAAGAGGACATCCCCGCAACAAGGAAGATTCGCTTTAGCACTGCTCCTATAACGGTAAGTTAAAACTCATTCAGTACCAGCCAATTCTAGACCAAGTCTGAAAGGACGTTTAAAAACGTCTTTAGGAGTTAAGGTCATTTCAAAACAAGAGTAGAAACCAGACGTTGTTGTTAAAGCTACCGGTTTATGAGCTTATGTTTCGCTAGTGCTAGTTAGCATTTTCACTTGCAGTGAACCTGGATTTTGTTCGACGTCTATTCATGGTCTCCATTATGACGCTCGATAAAGCAGCAAAAGATCATGTATCGACATTAAATCTGTTGCATTTAGGCCTCGAGGGCTGGGGCTATTTGATGATGCACATCTTGAGGGTGAAAGCACCTGCCCCCCCTCGGGAAATTGCGCTCACCAGCAGAACATCTGTGCACGTGTTAGCTTGCGCCGGTTATGCGCCGACACGCTTTTCACACATTCTCGTGTTTGTTCTCAAAACACTTTGGTCACTTCACTTCAAATCACATCTGGTTCTAATCAGCGTTTAACCAAGCTTATCCGGGCATCTTGTGTCTCTCATTTAATTTCAATCACTTTTCCCTTTTTGCGCGGGGTGACGAGAAGTGCCGGTTTCTGCACTATTTGCAGTCGATTGCGTGCGCGTCGTCGGTGGATGTTGCGTCATCTGACTTGAGTTTTTGTGCGTATGCTGCACATGTTGAGCACAATGAGGCGAGTGTAGTTTGTGGATTGTGAAAATGGATTTGGGAGATTACGGGAAATATTTTCCCCCCTCGTAATCCTCAAGCTTTTAGAATCAATAAGCTTAGCATTTGCGGTAGTAAACATATTTTAGGAAGCCCTCTGGACGCTATTCGTGTTTTGACTGGGGAATTTGTGTTTTCTATCATTTGTTCAGATTGGGAGTGGTGAGTGGGGCATAGCAATCGATTGTATTGATAAAGCTGTCCATATTCCGCTTCCTGTATTGATTGTCTGTATAGAAAAAAGTAGGCCCGCGCAGATTTCCAGTGGCCTTGTTTTTTTTTTTTTTTATTTACCATATTCCGCTTCCTGTATTGATTGTCTGTATAGAAAAAAGTAGGCCCGCGCAGATTTCCAGTGGCCTTTTTTTTTTTTTTTTTTATTTATCCGACCTCAATCGAGATCCAAAGGGTCACACTTGTACTTGTAAATACACTTCATCTGAAATCATATTGACTTTTATTTTGTGATCGAGTGCACTTGGGCAATATAAGAAGATGCGCCATATCTTTCCAGACATTCCAATTATGAATGATCATCAAAATATCGCAAGGATGAAGATGTGCAGCTCACGTTACACATCACATAAGGTCTTGTCTCATACAGGCGAACTACTGTACGCCCTGACCCCCTCTACTGCTGGGCCAGTGCTAACTAAGGATTTTGTTACCATGACAACAAGGGAGGAGCATAGGGCAGTTGCATGTTAAACTCCCAAGTCAAAAAAAAAAAATCAAATGCAAACTGTGAAGCACATGCAAATACCATGGATTGTATTTTCCCTCATGGAGTCAGCACTTCATCACCAAGTTGCTGATTTATACTTGTCAATTAGTGTCGTGGATTCATGCGCGCGGTGCATGCACCGGACAGGTCGTTAGCATTTTCACTTGCAGTGAACCTGGATTTTGTTCGACGTCTATTCATGGTCTCCATTATGACGCTCGATAAAGCAGCAAAAGATCATGTATCGACATTAAATCTGTTGCATTTAGGCCTCGAGGGCTGGGGCTATTTGATGATGCACATCTTGAGGGTGAAAGCACCTGCCCCCCCTCGGGAAATTGCGCTCACCAGCAGAACATCTGTGCACGTGTTAGCTTGCGCCGGTTATGCGCCGACACGCTTTTCACACATTCTCGTGTTTGTTCTCAAAACACTTTGGTCACTTCACTTCAAATCACATCTGGTTCTAATCAGCGTTTAACCAAGCTTATCCGGGCATCTTGTGTCTCTCATTTAATTTCAATCACTTTTCCCTTTTTGCGCGGGGTGACGAGAAGTGCCGGTTTCTGCACTATTTGCAGTCGATTGCGTGCGCGTCGTCGGTGGATGTTGCGTCATCTGACTTGAGTTTTTGTGCGTATGCTGCACATGTTGAGCACAATGAGGCGAGTGTAGTTTGTGGATTGTGAAAATGGATTTGGGAGATTACGGGAAATATTTTCCCCCCTCGTAATCCTCAAGCTTTTAGAATCAATAAGCTTAGCATTTGCGGTAGTAAACATATTTTAGGAAGCCCTCTGGACGCTATTCGTGTTTTGACTGGGGAATTTGTGTTTTCTATCATTTGTTCAGATTGGGAGTGGTGAGTGCGGCATAGCAATCGATTGTATTGATAAAGCTGTCCATATTCCGCTTCCTGTATTGATTGTCTGTATAGAAAAAAGTAGGCCCGCGCAGATTTCCAGTGGCCTTGTTTTTTTTTTTTTTTATTTATCCGACCTCAATCGAGATCCAAAGGGTCACACTTGTACTTGTAAATACACTTCATCTCAAATCATATTGACTTTTATTTTGTGATCGAGTGCACTTGGGCAATATAAGAAGATGCGCCATATCTTTCCAGACATTCCAATTATGAATGATCTTTTTTTTTTTTTTTATTTATCCGACCTCAATCGAGATCCAAAGGGTCACACTTGTACTTGTAAATACACTTCATCTCAAATCATATTGACTTTTATTTTGTGATCGAGTGCACTTGGGCAATATAAGAAGATGCGCCATATCTTTCCAGACATTCCAATTATGAATGATCATCAAAATATCGCAAGGATGAAGATGTGCAGCTCACGTTACACATCACATAAGGTCTTGTCTCATACAGGCGAACTACTGTACGCCCTGACCCCCTCTACTGCTGGGCCAGTGCTAACTAAGGATTTTGTTACCATGACAACAAGGGAGGAGCATAGGGCAGTTGCATGTTAAACTCCCAAGTCAAAAAAAAAAAAATCAAATGCAAACTGTGAAGCACATGCAAATACCATGGATTGTATTTTCCCTCATGGAGTCAGCACTTCATCACCAAGTTGCTGATTTATACTTGTCAATTAGTGTCGTGGATTCATGCGCGCGGTGCATGCACCGGACAGGTCGAGGATCAATCCTATTAAGCTGCTGTCACGAACCAGGACAATTAGGCCATTAGCTTTTTACAGAGAAATGGTTGTTGCGCTAATTACCTTTGTACTATCTCTTATAAGCACGTGGCATTTGGCTCCTCCCCGTCAGGACTCACCACACAGGGGGAAATATAGTCCGTGCAAAAATCTATTTCTGACAACTTTGTTGTGACAGTGAAAAGAAGCCCATGTCACACATCAAGGTCAAAAGAAGAGATTATTTAAAAAAAACAACAACTATTGATGTCTATTATTTAATGGCTTGTGTTTTGTATGAAAGGCACGAACACTCATTCATCATATGGAATAATTAGGACAAGCACTGCCCACCTTCTGCACACGCAGCCTTGCAGTCACGTCAACCCCTCCCTCATCGCCATTATGCAACCCCCTCCCCTATGCACACAAACACGGTTGTGTCTTTTGTTCGTCCATATAGTGTTGGAGACAAAGATGCGTTCTCAAGCCCTGCACGAGTCTACTATGACCTCCGGAAGGGCGGAGCCCGCAGAGCCGATGTTGGCACAGGGAAAAGAACCCCCCCCGCCATCTTTTAATCTTAACAGTTCTTGTAATATTTCTTAGAGCCGCTCCTTAAAGCGGATAAATCATTTTAACATCCAAGCTCTGCCGCCTTAATTGATTTTGAAATCAGGCAGGCAGCTGCTAAGAGGAGAGAGCCCCCAACCAGTGTTTTGGCAACAGTTTGTGAACAGCGTGCGAGAAGTCTTTTTGGGAAAATCTCCATTAAGTCTGGGAAATGAGAACCTAGGAGGTGCAGAAATGTTCTGACAGCTAAGCATTAGCTACACTTGCACATGAAGAATGTTCAGGGCGAGAGCTGCATCAAAATAAAATACTGTAAAATAAAAGCAATATTTGTTGAAAAAGGATGCTTTTATAAGTCTAGGAATGATCCGTTTCGAGTGAGTGGTGTTAATTGAAATAGTCACCTTTATTGTTCACATTGAAAAAAAAAATAGTTGCAGACAAATAATGTTTATTATTGTGGTTGTCGTAAGATGTTTTCAAATATTTGCTTCCAGAATTCGCTCCATGCGAAGGGCAAAATGTTCGAACAGTTCTCAGAATGCGATGCAGGGCGCTTCCACGCCACTGCGAACAACCACAACACTAAACATATCAAAACATGCCGGTTGATTTATCACTCAAGATGATCAATGTCAGATTTGTGCATGCACCCTATGCAGTCTCTGGCATGCGCACGGGACGGCAACATATGGCGAAAACATATGGCGAAAATACAGCCGCTGTGTGCGCAGGGGTCCCTAATGAAGTGTCCAATGACTATCTGCCGTGGACATTCACTGAATTCATGCTCCCTTCCACGTCCTTTGACTGGCTGCAACATTTTGACCTAGTGAGGAAGTGACTTTAGTGGGGCTACGTGAGGGGGGGAGGGGGGGGGAGCCACTGCGCCTTCCCGACGGCACTGACCTACAGAAACGAATCCCATCGCATGCTCATTCAAGCAACCGGTTCTTATCCTCGGTGTGAGTGTCTGCGGGTCGCCGCGTTCGCTTCTCCTCAGATTGATGTGGCGCGGCCCCAAGTCACGCTTTTGATGCCCTATTTCTACACCGCAATGCTTTCACAGCCATTAAGAACCGCCGAGAATCGAGCGTTTCCATCGAGGCGTGTCACACTCATCTTCCACTTTCTCCTGTGTGGTTGTCGGGGTGTTAAACATGTCTGCCCTGATCAAACATCCATCTCACATTGAGGCGCCTCCCCCCGCCCCCGCTCCATTGTGTTTACTTCCTCTCTTTGATCGGATCACGCCACAGGAGTTTGAGAGGGGAGGGCCTCTGGACGCAGTGTCTGGCCTTCACTTTTTGTTCCCTCTCCTTTATTTGAACTCCATTC